ATCGGCGTCCATGCAGGTACACACGAAATCGTCGAGTGGCCCACACAAGGCCAAGGCACTCCCGTTCGGTCGCCGAGAACTTCCTTTCAGTTTTCGAGAGGCTGCGACTGGCGTACGCCACCACTCGCTCCTGGCCTCCTTCTTCCTGCGTCAGTACCGCTCCAATCCCTACTTCACTGGCGTCCGTGGTCAAGATAAAAGGAGCGTTGAAGTTCGGGTAGCACAGCACAGGTGCAGATGTCAGCTTCTCCTTGAGCTGTCGGAACGCAGCGTCGCATTCCTCCGTCCAGACGAATCGTGCACATCCCTCTAGAAGCCGGTGTAGAGGTTTCGCCACGTCTGCGAACTGCGGAATGAAGCGTCGGAAGTACGAGGCAAGTCCAAGGAATTCTCTTGTCTCCTTGACTGAAGAAGGCGTCGGGAAGTGTTTTACGGCCGAAACCTTCGCGGGGTCAGGCGAAACACCTTCTCCACTGACGACATGACCCAGAAACTGAACTTTCTTTCGAAAGAGCCGACACTTTTCAGGGTTCAATGTCAGGTTGGCAGAACGAAGGGCCTGTAGGACGTCCTCGAGTCTCTGCAATGATTCGCCGAAGCTGCCTCCGAACACGATTATATCATCAAGATATACCAGGCAGATGTTCCATACCATTCCCGTCAACGCCACCATCATCAGCCGCTGGAAGGAAGCTGGTGCTCCCTTGAGGCCCATTGAAGTGACATTGAATTCGAAGAGGCCCTTGTGAGTGGTAAATGCTGTCTTGTGTTTGTCCCGTTCCTCTACTTCTTGCTGCCAATACCCACTTTTGAGGTCCAGTACGTGAAACCACTGGGCCCCAGAGAGGGCGTCCAAGCAGTCATCAATCCTTGGCAGAGGAAAAGCATCGCTGATTGTGTCTGCGTTCAACCGACGATAGTCAATGCAGAACCGAATGGATCCGTCCTTTTTCTCAACCGGAACCACTCGTGCCGCGTACGGAGACGTACTCGGCCTGATGACGTCTTTGCTCAACATGTCCTCTACCATGTCGTCCAGCCGCTGACGGGTGTGGTGGTCCACTCTCGTTGGTTGCGCTGCTCTTGGAGGCGTACCCTCTGTCCGAATTTCATGCTTCACAATTCCAGACCGTCCGAGACGTCCATCCGCTGGGAATCTGTCTTGGTAGTCGTGAAGTAGCTTCTTAGCCTGACACTGCTCTTCTCGTGACGTCAGATCAGAGTCAGTGACCAGCCTCTCAACAAGCGTCTCCATTTTCCGTTTCACTTCTTCCGACTTTTTTCCGACTGATTCCCGAACACTCCTGACGTTCTGAGCCAGGGACTCATGAACTCGCGCGACACGTTCGACGTGCCCCAGCGTGGTCCCCTGGTGCAGCTTGACAGGTCCTTCTCCCGGATTCACGAGCCGAACAGCGATCTCCTGCCCTTCTCGCATCACGTCCAGTACCCGGGCTCCCACTACATCGTTGGCTTCTTCAAACGTAGGGTCTGGGCTATACATGACCTCTTCCTGGATGGGAATAGCAGCTTCTACGACTCCCCTTACAACAATCTCATGCCGCCCAGGCAGAACGACCTCGCGAGTCAGTCTCACTCGTGCACATCGCGGTTCTGCTTCTCCTTGGGAGGGGGTCGGAGATGAACATGTTACATCTTGACTTCCTATGGTTACTCTGCCCGACGTCCAGTCAATGGTAACAGTTGCTCCCAAGCGTCTCATCGCATCGGTCCCGATCAAACATTGCGTGTTCATAGACGGCACCACATAAACAGGGTGTTGCAGGAGAACTGAAGAACCAATACATATATCTGCCAGTACTCGGGCCTCACAGGACAAGGGCTTACCGTCTATCGTCACTGGCTGCTGCTGCGAAAGACAACGCCGCAGCTCACGTACACCGGGAACACTCGACCCAACCAGCGTGCATTCCGCTCCCGTGTCCAGCAACCATACTACCGATTCGTTCTGCACAGAGCCCCTGACATACACAGCCCGACCACTTGGAGTAACATAGGACGTCGTGCCCACCAACAAACTGTCGGGAGAAGACTGGTGGTGGGCACCTAAAAATCCAACTTAACACGACACCCACGCGCTATGTGCCCCATCTGACCACAACGATAACATTGAAAAACGGCTCCTCCTTCCTCCCCACCTGCAGAGTTAACAGGACACTCACGCGCCATATGTCCCACTTCACCACAGCGATAGCATTGAGCACCAGATCCCCTTCCACCACCGCCGCGATTTGCACCTGGGCCACGAGCAGCACCCCCATAGCTGCCACGACCGACGCGTTCCCCGTGTCCACCGAAGCCACCTCCACCACCACGAGGGCGAAAACTCCCACGGCCAGGAAGGGTCAGCCGCCCGACATGTGCTTGAAGATCCGCCATAGACGCCGCCACCGCGGACACCTGGTCTCGAAGCTCCGCGACCTGAGCATCAACAGACGGAGTGGTCTCCACCCGTCCCACTGAGGCCTGCCGACGGGAGAGCTGAACTTGCTCAATCCGGCGTGCGCTGCGTTCTAGATCTGCAAGGGAACCCCGTTCTTGCTCGGGTGCCTGAAGCATCAATGCCATACGCAAGTCATCATCTAGCCCATTGATGAAGGTGGCTCGCACTACGCCCTCTCGCGGTACCACATCCCAGTCCGGATACGCTCGCTCAGCAAGCTCCTCCAACTCGTGCATGAAATCTGCTGTGCTTTGTCCAGACTTCCTTCGAGCAGAACTGAGCTGCAGCGCATAGTCACTCTGGAGTCCTGGAGAATCATATTCATCCATGAGCGCCTTGTACAACTTGTCATATCTACTCTTTTGCTCTGCAGGGAGGTGCATAAAAAAGTCATATGCTTTACCAGCCAAGGAAACAGACAACTGTGCCAGCTTCGTAGCATCATCTCTCCATTCATTGATGCCTGCACATTGTTCAAATTTATGAAGAAACCGACGCACACTGCCACTGCCATCAAAATCAGCTGGTCGCACCGCCTTGCTGCCGCCAGGTGCCATCGCGTACGCCTTTATCTCTTCCTGAAGAAAATCACTGTCCGTTTCAGGCTTGATCATTAGCTTTGTTGCCACCAGCGCCTGCTGTCGCCACCGCTGCCACCAGTGTGACGGGTCCGATACACCAGCAGACGCCTTTTCAGTTTATTAATTCTTCAGGAAGTAGGCCTGCGAACACACGCACACAACAAGCAAAACCGTTAGCAACTCCAAGCAACTCCATGCACATTGCACGCTGCATAGCAGGTCATGCGGCAGCCACCACGGAACACAACCATGCACAACATGCAACACACACACAACAACACAACATGCCGTCGCGAGCAGACGAGGACGCAACATGCCGTCGCGAGCAGACGAGGACACCAAACCCAATAACCCAAATATGTACATGCCCTGATCCAGCACGTCACAATATGAACAATAATTGGCAGGCTGGCAATTTATCAAAGCATCTTTGTCGTGACGAAAGGAAGGCATTTCAAATAGATGGTAATTTGGCAAATAACGCTGGTTATCTTTGTTGCTAGGTAATAGGTATGCAATACTGCATTAAGTGTTTTTAGTCTTTTGGCGAGGCAAGCCGGTCCCGTAAGCTCAGTTGGAAGAGCGTTGAATTCCACGTGGTGAGAGCACGCGTTCCCGGTTATAACAGTCCGGGTTCGAAGCGCGACGGGCGCTTGACGTTTATGGGCCTCCTGACAGGTATGGTTGCGGTTGGTGGCAGGCCGTAGCCAGGCAAAGTCAGTGAGGGGACCGGCCGTGCGCGCGCACAGGCCAGGCGCAGGCAAAGTCAGTGAGGGGACCGGCCGTGCGCGGCTATGTGCGCACATTAAACTTTGGACTCTAAATTCTGCCATAGAACTGGAATTTGACGATCGGAGGGTAGAGGGCAGGGTCACTGCAACAAACTTCGCTTAGCGGTGGCTCTGTCCTTGTGAATCCTTCCCATCAAAAGGTTCGGACTAACTTTATAAAAAGAAAAAAGAAAAGCATCCAGGTTCTATCATCTTTCACTGTCGACTATTAGATTGCTATTGCAAGTGCCTTTAACCCACGCCGTGCTGGTGGTCGAGCTGAACACATCTGACGTGTTTTCACCGCTCTAGCACGTCTCTATCAAAAGTTATGGCCACAAAACTACTGGTGACCGTTCATGACCTGAGATGACCTCAGGGGCATACAGAGGGGTCACAGGTGCAGTTTTCCGATTCAGTGTGTATATGTAAACATAACACACTGAATCGGAAAACTGCACCTGTGACAAAACGCTCTCAAACATCGGTTCATACGTAAACGTATGAACCGATGTTTGAGAGCGTTTTGAACGACATTCGTCCAAAAGAGGCGCATTTCAATTTTCTCCCATTGACTTATGGTCACTTGACGTGACCTGGTGATCTGACCTTGAAGACCCGGGTCTGAGATTTTCACATGTGCGGAGAAGATGTATGATGAACAGGTGTACCAAAAACGGAGGCGCTGCGCGCCGCCATTTTTTAAATATTTGCAAAAAAACTGACCGGGGGGGGGGGCGTAAAAACTGCCCCCCTACCCAGCACAGCGCGGGTTACGCCATGATAAATATATGGGCCCTTTTCACCGCGCAAGGGCCCTTTTCACGCATGGGCTCCTTTCACTATGCATGGGCCCTTTTCACCCTAGTACCCCACAGTCAAAAATTCGTGGCGCCGCCCCTGGTTATATCAATATTTCCAAAGTAAACCATAGTTGCAAGCAGGCTAGGCTAGCCCTCTACAGGGAGAAGTTTTGGTTGGTGCCTGCCACATGGTAGGATTTTTAAAAATGTTATTTTTTTTTGCTTTAAGACTGGATGCTATTTCAGTCTTTATTTTCTGAGTTACATATAGCAATAAATGTCTTTTTTGTGTCGCAAAGTTAGGCAAAGCCACACATTGCTCTTGATAATTTTGCAAGTGCAGCTGTTATCAAGTACTTTCAAACACATTCTTCCTTTTCAGTGCATTCAGTTCAGTTTGTTCAGGCTGGTGGCCACCGATCTGGCGATGAGGTGTCAGCGTCTGCTGCTGGAGCTGCTGGGGCAGAGTGTCTGCAGCAGGACCTCCCATGGACCCCTGCTGGGCCGCCACCGCTGCCCCTGGCCCAGTCGGCTCCCAGTTCGCCACTCCTCCTCTGCCCCACCACTAGTGATCGAAGGCGTCGAGTACCAGCCGGACGACTGGACCAACGTGACGCCGCGCATCCTGGAGCACGTGGGCCGCCGTCTGCACGAGCAGCCGCAGCACCCGCTCTGTCTGATCAAACAGCGCGTCACGCGCTACATGCACTCGGCGTTCCGCAACGCGCGCGGCAACCCGCTGTTCTCTCTGCACGAGCGGCTGGGTCCGGTGGTGAGCGTGGCGGCCAACTTTGACTCCCTCCTGGTGCCCGCCGACCACCCGAGTCGGCGGCGCAGCGACAACTACTACGTGCGCCGCGACACGGTGCTGCGCGCGCACACGAGCGCCCACCAGACGGAGCTGCTGACGGCCGGCCTGGACGCCTTCCTGGTGGCGGGCGACGTGTACCGACGGGACGAGATCGACCGCACCCACTACCCAGTCTTCCACCAGATGGAGGGCGTGCGCGTCATGAACCGAGAGCAGGTCAGAGCCGGCGGCGTGGTCGCTGTTGTGACATGTGGCACGTAGGGGAGAGTGGGGCACATTCGTGCATGGGGCACATTCGTTTTCAGCAGTTTATGGGAACACGAGTGACTGCACGAGCTCAAGGTAAATTATGGAAATATGTCTATCATTGCCGCCCTTCGTTCACCGTAGAAGACAACACTGTACCTGCTGTCATGCTTGATAAAAACGCAAATTTGTAATATTCGTGAGCTTTCCAAACTTTTCTCATATCATCCATTTTCGTGATCCTGACTCGGAAATGTGGTTCAGCTTTTCAAAATTGGGGGTGAAGAAGCCCACTCTATTCACGGAACTGCTGCAAACTTGTTTGTTGAAAAAGTGTCATTTTTTCAAAAAGAAATTTTGAAATATATTACTAATAACGTTGTGGGGCAGGTTCGTGTACGCACTGCCTGGGGGCACATTCGTGCATATTTTTTTTTAGTTTTTGCGATTTATGACTTTATCTGTAGTAGGTTTCTCTAATGACGCTCGCCTGACTCAGTCTCGACTGCTTGCGACGTCGTGACGAGCAATTCACGCGAACTTGGCGAGGTCACGGAGGCCGGCAGTTGGCACATTCTTGTTGGCCAGCCCATTCTTTCTACATTTGTTGTGCAATGCATTCTTGTCGAAAGGAATCAAGTGAAATGACCCCCTGCCAATTTCCTTTGGTAAATTTCTGGTAATGCCCGGTAATTTCTCGAATTTTGCCGGGTGAACGGAAGTGCCCCATCTCTTGAACGAATGTGCCCCATAGGTGGGGCAGTTTCGTGCAAATGTTCAGAGTTAATAAAAGTCATTTTTTCTAATGGAAGCAATAATTTTATAGGATAACTTTTAAAGAGGAAAACTATCTGCAATAGTTCCTTTCCATACTACAATCAACAATTTTGCCATTGCACTAACCAAAGAACAGATATATGGGTTTATCCATTTTTTGCACGAATGTGCCCCACTCTCCCCTACTATGTGCCTCTCTCAGTCGCATGGTGATACAGGACGAGCAATGACCAATGAGCATATTGTCGTCCTCTGTGAATGCGTATTACCGTCCTCTGCGACATGTTCAGTTTATTTTACGATATTCGGAAATGCTGGCCCTGGTCACATTATAGCTGATTCCCGGTACTTATGTTCGTACTTCCGTGTCCCTTCTCAGCTTTTCGGAGTGATGGCGGACCCCCAGCTGCGGCTATTTGACCCGTCGCCCGGCCCCCGGCGGCCAGAGAAGCAGGAGGCCCACTCACTGGAGGCCGTCAAACTGATGGAACACGAGCTCAAAACCTGTCTGGAGGGACTGGCGAAACGACTGTTCGGCGCTGGTAGGTGACGTGAAATTAGCTTTATTTTTATTACCTTGAGGATGGCCAGCTAATATTTGTATTCACCATCATTTTTCGCCATTGTTTAGTAGTGTGTTTATCTAGCATTTTACGGAAACAGATGTGGACTGACGTGTCTTGATGAATATATGAGTGTGGGATGCTGCTACTGTCAATCCACTGTTGAACGACTTTGCTAAGTATGCAATATATCTGACAGACATCGAGTACCGCTGGGTGGACTGCTACTTCCCGTTTACCCATCCCTCGTGGGAGCTGGAGGTGCGACTCGACGACGACTGGCTCGAGGTGCTCGGCTGCGGAATCATGGAAAAGCGGATACTCGACAATAGTGAGTTGACGACCGAACATTGTCTCAAACAGTTTTGGTACGGCACAACACCTAACTATCTCTAACATATGTTTTTGACACATTCTCCTAAAATATCCATAGTGGATTATAGTGAAATATAAGTGAATGTCTAATCATTTATTTGTTATCTAGAGCAACGGACCAAGTTATGTAATCCTGCTTTTCCATCAGTTTTGTTTTTGTCTTCAAAGTTTCGGACGTTGTGTCTTGGTATTTAGGCACTAGAGCAGAGCATCTTTTTCTCTGGTGTAGACTTAACTACCTAATTCCTTTGCGAATCAACCGTACTCGTGCCGTTGTTCTGACCTTTTCACTCTCCTCAGGCGGCGTGGGCGACCGGATCGGCTGGGCGTTCGGCCTTGGTCTGGAGCGGCTGGCCATGAAGCTGTACAACATCCCCGACATCAGGCTGTTCTGGTCGCGCGACTCGGGCTTCCTCAACCAGTTCAAAGTGGGCGACTGCGAACAAAGCGTGCAGTACAAGGTGGGTGGGAGGCTGCGGGATTGGGACGGCGGGAGACTGGGCTCGTGGTGGGATGCTGTAGAAAAAGGAGATGTTTTGGTGGTAGCATTTTTTCTTCTTCGGTTGATTAGCAGGTGGTCTGTTGAGCTAGCTGGCTGCGCCAACAATTACTGGGTAAATGCCAGTGTTTGTGCTTTTTAACAACAAACGTAGCAAAACATACATTGGCGATGCTGATGCTCATTTTACCTATGGCTACTGGCTTAGTCGTTTAGCTGTGATGCTTCATACTGGTGCACACGATTGAGCTATGAGATTCTGTCTGCTCCGGTCTTCTTACCATGGTACGCACTACGCAGCTGTGACGTGTACGTTTGTTGTGTATTTCAGCCGGTGAGCCAGTACCCGCAGTGCAGTAACGACCTGAGCGTCTGGCTGCCCGGCTCTGGGTACTCGGCCGCCGACTTCTATGACCTGGTCCGGTCACTGGGCGGAGACATGGTGGAACAGGTCAGTGGAACCGGCTCGGATTCACGCCGATCGGATGAGCTGTAATACATTTCAAACTCGAGGGGAAATATTCTGTGAATAATATACGGCTCGGGCTCACTCAGACGGCAGTTGGAGAATCTGGGTCTGGCTGAAATAAGTTGCCTCGCAGGCACATCGTCAAAGCTCAATTATTCCAGCTATGCTATCCTGCAACCCCTTTAAACCGGGATATATGGTCATCTGGCCTTTGATTAATGCAACGGAAGGTGGAAACGTGCAACGCCGTGTGGTATGTCTAACCTGGAACAGTATGACGTGCCATCCCACTCACGTCGTGCTCCGTGCCTCCCTCAGGTCACTCTGGTAGACGAGTTCACCCACCCCAAGTCGGGCCGAGCCTCGCACTGTTACCGCATCGTGTACCGGCACATGGAGCGAACGCTGACCCAGGCTGAGGTGAACAGGCTACACGAGGCGATCGGGGCGGCCGCCACTGAGCAGCTGGGCGTCCAGGTGCGGTGACCCCGCCAGAGTCACACCCGCGGGTCAGCCGAGAGGCGGCCACAGTGGGTGGGGGTGGCCAGTCAGGACCAGTGTGATATAACTGCCGTTTTGTTACGATTTGTTGTGAGGATATGCAGAATAGGTAAACGAGTGTTGATAGCGTTTTGTAGGCATACGTGCTAACTAATGATGAATAAAGGACATGTGATGACGGACGCTCTTCCTTATCGATACCTGTCCGTAGTTCAAAAACATGTTTAAACACATGACGATCATTTATTGATAATATCGAGCCACTGATGTGCTGCTGTTTCCAGTATCTGACGCAGAGATATACGTATCTGTGACATATCTGATCGGTGTGCGCCGGGCGCGGCGGCGCCCCGCCCACACTGAAAGCTCCGAACTAGCGCCGCTGACCCGCCGGTGACCTCTGGGGTCACTGACGGCGCCCCGGCGGTACCTACCCCTTCACAGTCCAATTTGCGCCGCTCGTCATACATCGTTACGCACGTCGGGACGCACAGTCAAATTCCAACCCCTGTTAGCACAACACGGATACGACTCGGCGCTCAGAAAGTCCTCATATCGTGGACACCTGCATACATACACTGTTCGATTTCCTCGATCACATACCGCCAAAGTCCTGTCTTGGCTTTCACGGGTTCGAGTGTCACTCGGTACACACTACTCACTGGTCTGGTTGCGATTATCTCACTGTACTGTACACATAATTTCACCAGTCTGGGCTACCAAACACATATATCCACTGTCCGCTCGCCAGTGACGTCTGACGTTCTGTCCAGTTTCGCCCGACGGCCGTCTGTGATCGCGGGCAGATCCAGTTGTCCGCAGACTGCCTATCGAGTTCAGCATTCCATGTGTCGACTGGACTCGTGCTTCCATCCTGGACTCATCCAACGGCCACCAGGAGCCGCCTTTCCAGCCTCCGACACTCTTCTGTCGCTCAGAGACCGCCAACTCCGGCGTCAGGCCGGGCAGGTGGCGACACATTCACTAAAACGCGAACATCGAGCGCCCAATGACGGGCAGAGGAGGGAGCGATCGCCTCGAGTGGACCGCGGCGACTACGGACTAGCGGAGTGGCGCGGCGTGGCGGACACTGCGGATTTATCACCTGGAGGGGACGCGGGGCGCGGGCCTTAGCGGGCGTGCGCCGACAGCCGCTGCGGCACGCCGTTCAGTACCCGGTGCTTGAGCACGTCGTTCTCATAGGTATCCACCTGCTTCTCCCGGCCGTTCTCAAACACTCTGCCGGAGGAGAGGGAAGGGGTCAGAGGTGACGGGCTCCGCACAGCGGGGTCAGGTGAGTCATACCACTCGGTGTCCGGCCGACACGGGGGCACCGGGTCCCCGTCATCAGTCAGCAGGCACCTCGTTACGGCTGGGTACACCCGTCACAGATGCAACTTAGCAGCGAGTTATAGCCGTGGGGTCAGTCGTGTCTACTGTACACCCGCCGCTACTTCGGGCGTGCACAGACTACGCCAGAGACAATCTTCTAGAAATGGAGTCGGGAGTGAGAGCCATTCGGACAATGGATACCTCTTAAGTACCCATCTAACAATTGAAAAGTACGGAATCCGTGAAGATCAATTCCCCAATACCAAGTCAGCCATCCAGGTCGTGTTCTGGCACTCACTTTCTGGTGGTGATTTTCTTTCCGTTGACGTATTTGGTGCTGGTGGAGGTGCGTTTGACGGCGTGTCCGCCGGGCCCCAGGTGGGCGCTGAACGACTCGGCGCCCACGAAGCCGGCGCCCGGCTCCATGTCGTCCATCATGCCCATCATGGAGGCCATCATGCCCAGCGAGCCGCCCAGGCCGCCGAACGGCGAGAACAGGGCCGGCGACATGAGGTCGGGCGCGGCCGAGTGCTGCCGGCGCGCCGCCCGCCGGCCGGCCCGCGGCTCCATCAGACCGGACGTCAGCAGGTCTGCAGACACACAGACAGACAGACACACGGTCAGTCGGCAGCGGCGGTAAACAGTGGACGTCGGCCGGCGCGGCAGTCAATATTGATACCGACCGGAGCGCGGGGGACGGTGTAACCGAGCCTCAGACAAACGCCGGCAGTGGTCCGCCGGGAAAATGACAGCTGGACGATACAGCAGACATAGCAGCGACATTCAAGGGCGCTCTCGTAAATACGACGGCCGAACTATTTTCAAACAATCAGCAGGAAAATAAACAATGCTCAGGGGAGACCAACAACAGCCCTAACGCACGACTCCCCTCCCTCCGCAGTCCGTCCCATTCATGCTTCATGCATTCATACATCGACACAGCAAAGTAGGCACCCATGAACAGTGAGCACACAGCCCTTTCTTGAAGTCGGCACCAACTCACCATCGAGCAGGTCGGCCAGCGGGTCGCCGCCAAAGAACTCCCGGAACACGTCGTTGGGGTCGCGGAACGCGTGGTGGCTGAAGAAGAAGTCGTCGTCGAAGCCGCCGGCGTGTTGTCCGCTGAAGTGGTGGTGGTGCGGCGCCGACGGGCTCGGGCCGCCGCTCCGCACGCCGTCCTTGCCGTACCGGTCGTACGTCTTCCGCTTCTTGTCTGCGGGGCGGAACGGGATGCGGTCAGAGGCGGTGAGCAGTGTAAGGTGCGTGGGAGGCGGTACTGGTGGGTCATAACTGATCCTGATGTCCTAGGTGGCCGTCACACGGCTCCGGCACTGAGTGGGTAAGAACAGCTACCAGAGGTGATTTAAAAGACCACTGAAGACCCATGCTCATTGCAAATAGTGCGGGTGAGCTTTGTGTTTTGCGTCAGGAGTCAATGAGAACTACACTTCATCTCGATCGCGCATCTGGAAAAAAACTTCGGACGATGACAGGGCAAAGCCAGTTTGGAAAACAGGCAGTGTACTAAATGAAATGGTATGCTGCGCGGTGGATCGTGTTGTCACTTGTCAGTAACCGTTTAGTTGTTTACGCCCAGGCAGTGAAGCCTGAAATGGCTGCTGCACAAGGCTGCAAAGGATAGGAATGCTGTTTTGCAGCAGCAGATGCCGCAATATTAGAAAATTATGTTAACACTACCGAAAAACATCACCACAAACCAAAATATTGAAACATCTAAATACTAGGAATGGGATTGTGGACGATATTGCATCACAACTAAGCATGCGCTACGTATCCGAACAGAACTCGATGATTAGTGGGAGCTTCTTGTCTGACGCAACCATGTCCGACCTGTAGGAATTACATGAAGATAAGGGTACATTATTTGTCGTAACTAAGACGTTCTGCGAGTCGGGGACCGACAGCAGCTGCTGGAGCGGTGTCTCGGACGAGTGACGACACAACTAGTCCACACTAAACAGAACAGCAAAAATCTCGGACCTCGGACCACCGGCACACAGGGTTAGAGAGTGAGCTGTCGACGACCACCAGCAGCCGCAACTGAAGTAAATCATCTACCACACTTTATCTCACATCTATTCTACCTCTGGCTAGATAGACACGGCGGTCGGATCATCAGGCCGCTGGGGTCAGTCATCACCACACAGGGTTAGTGTTTTTAGGAACGGAGTGCGCTGTACCGGAGAATCGGAATCCGGACGATCCGAAGAAGCCGTGCGCGCTGTGCGGCCGCTGAGAGGCGCGCCGGCCCGGCCCGGCCGAGCCCGACCGAGCACGGGCGTCGTACGAGCGGCGCTTGGACTCTGGGAGGGCGCCACAGAGAGGGCTCACACGCGAGCCCGAGCGGCGGGCGGTGACGGTGGGAGGTCGATGGTAACACTCACAGTGACTACAGTGACTTGTGGAGCTACACAATTCCTCTCCAGTGATTTAACACGACGGGACTGATCAACCCCAACGGTGAATTGCATTTCAACGATGCAGTGCAGTCAATTATGCGTCCAGATGGACCACACATTTTAACGGCACATGAATTCATAGATATTTCAGATCGGCGACTCAGACATTCTAAACAACGCAAAAAAAAAAAACGGTAATAGCCACAACGGGCGGACGAATATGGGATCTTGGGTAGGTTCCGTGGGGTTCACTCACCGTCTGAGAGCACCTCGTAGGCCTCCGAGATGTCCTTGAACCGCCGAGTCGCCTCGTCCTTATTGTTGGGGTTCTTGTCCGGGTGCCACTTCAGCGCTAGCTTACGGTATCTGAGGGAAAACGATAGTTCCTGGTTAGCTCACGGCGACGATGCGGCGCTAGTGTCGCAGCCACTCTGCCTAAACGCCGACACGGGGTAAGTGGAGCAGTGAATCGCGGCGACAGAAATGGCGCAGTGGCGACAGCAGTGACGCAGCAGTCCGACTGCCATGAATGAGTGGCCGCCGCAGCACGGCCCTGCCGCGTGCCGCAGCGTGCATCGATACACTGTGCAGAACAGCGCATTCTGGGGCGCCGTGCCAAAACACTCACGTAGTGACGAGCTTCAACAAACAGCAAGGGTGGCACCATATGCTGACCCACGGGTCTATATCGATACCATTTGAAGTGCAGAAAATTACATATGATTATGACCTGATAAGGCGACACGGCTTCAGTGAGAATACACACACGACGACCTGCAGGCATTTAAAACGCCTAAAATGCGCCCCACTCTGACAAAACACACACGTTGGCCGTTGACTGATAAGATAGACGCCACCTCATCGCATGGTTGAGCAATGAGCAATCAGCCCTCTTGAAGGGTATCACAGCCAGGTCGCGGAAATAGACCGGCGGAAAATGTGTCAGAACAGCAAAAACTCGGGCTGGGGCCGCCGCCAGACTGTCCGTTTTGGTCCTGCGCTGAGCGGCGGGTCGGGTCGGGCGGTGGCTGCCCGGTCGAGTGTTGGCGCCGCGGCCGACCCGCCAGTGCCAAACGTCAGTGGCCAGTAGGAACCGGTCCGTCCGGCCGAGCTAATGAGCCGACACGCCGACTGCGCCGGCCGCGGCGGACGCTGGCACGGCCGTCCCGACACACAGCCACTGTCAGTGTGTCAGTGACACTGTGTCAGTGTGTCGGCTCTGTGTCGATATTGGTCACACTGACCCGTTTACGGCCACTTTGTGTCAGTGCATCGGTGTGTCGTTATTATCGGAGCCGGTTTCCGGCAACAAACCAACTCTTCGACCGCTATCAGTTCGGAGGGCGTCGAGGAAACCCACGGTGCAGCTGGCTACCCAGCAACCGGCACCCAACCACAGAGGCACGTCGCGGGGCGTTCACGGCTGCTACAACAGGCTCAGTGGAGTATGCGGGTACAGAGAAACAGAGCCGTGGGAGAACCACGGCTCCGAGAACCACGACTCCCGCCTGCCCAAGCAGTGTCACTCTCACATGAGCAACATCACCACCGCGGCGGCAGCCGTTCAAACCGCAAAAAAATGTGCTGCCACGACGACGGCAGCAGACGCATACGTTAGACTTATCGTCAGTACCATCGCTTGAAATACTTTCCATCCAACAGCACTCACTACACGGCACCCATTCGGCAGTAGCCGTTCAGCACTAAACTCGCGCGCTGTCGGCTGAACCCGATTGCCACTATCATTCAAATGCACCAGCCGCGGACACGTCCAAGCCGCCGCGGCTGTCCTGTCAGCGCCGGACGAAGGTCAGCCTGGCGGCCGGCCAGCGTCTGCCGGATACATCAGCCCGGCGTGCTCAGAGAGCTCGCTCGGGGAACTGTCCGACGGCCCGCCACCGGCGCTGGAGACGAGAGGGCCTCTGAGACTGGCCGGTCGGCATCGGGCGCCTCAGGAACGGGCAGCTCCAAATGGAAATCAGCAGCTACTTTGATCAGCTCTCCGGCGCAGTGATCTCGGCAATCACCGGCGAACGAGGGGGAACCGCGGCGGTTTCCGGCAAAAGTCGGCTGTATTAGTTTGGGATGCTCTGCTCCGTAGCCAGGAACTAACCACATGGCGCACCTCGAGACAACTGCCAACTCAATGATAGATAGCAGCAATCATCTACATCAAAGCTAGAGTCACGGCCATCGCGATACGTCAATGCTGTATAACTAGCTGATCAGATAGCCAATTACCGGTCGGCACCCATAGGTACTTGGTATCGGATATCACGCTTGTGATCGGAGAACTTTGGAGACACATACAGAACACAGTTCAACAGCAGCATCCAAGGTATCTCATCGATGTTCCATCGATCTCAGTTACATTTCGCGTCGTCTGGAACGATCGATCGGAACTTTCCGAAATGATCTCATCGATGTTCCATCGATCTCAGTTACATTTCGCGTCGTCTGGAACGATCGATCGGAACTTTCCGAAATGACCTCAGCATAGCGTCAAGACATGCCGCATCACAACACTGCATATGCAATGAGGCCACATACTTTGTTTTAATAGCAAGCAGAGCTCCGCTCCATTAGATATCCCGGGACTCCCCGACAGTTCCCGGCGAGGGGTGACGGGTAGTGCGGGACTGGGCCCCTCCGGTCGGGCCTCGCCGTATCTACAAACAATGATGTTGAGCCTGCTCATGTCTCGCCGCACATCCTCCCCGCCCCGACATGGGACGGCGGGACACCGACTGACTCCGCCTCGGCGCCTCGCGTCCGGCCGGCCGGACGGGGCACCGACGCGCCCCTGAGCCGATCGACCCGTGGGGGCGCCAGGAGGGATCAGCGCGTCCCCACCGGCCAGGTGACCTGACAGGGGAGGGTGAGCTGTTGTTCAGGGGTATCGGGAATCGATCGGATGCGGACGGGGCTCGATCGGGACGCCGGGAGGGACAGGGGGCCGAGCAGAGAGCTCACGAAATGAATACCGAATGGTGAATACGCCAGCAACTGTTTCGCAACTAAACCAGAGAGCAGGCACCACTCTGAAATGTTGGTTGCAGCTTTTAAGATGCACGATTCTCCTCCATAAATATGCACGACCACCATTCCTTATCTAATCACTCAAAAACTTTAACTCACTACCTCCGCTTGTCCGGTCCATAAAGTCACTCATAAGCACAATTTATCTCTCAGGAGATTACGGCAAAACACTACATAACTGACTTTAGCAAGACCGTTTTGGCAGTCATGAGACAATCCGCTTTCAGCGAAGCGTCTCTGCTAAGCCTGGTTTACAGGGCGTCTGAGCCGGCCTCGGCGGGTCGTGCACCTGCCCGCGTCTCCATATGTGGAGAGCCGTCTCCGGGACACGACAGTGAGCTCGGACCGGCCCCGGCCCCAGTCAGCAGGCCGTCACCCGGCTCACAGGCCGGCCCCTAATGGCACTGGACAGATGGGTGTCCGCACGGTGACCGCCTGACCGGATGAGGCTATCAGGCTTCTAAGGAGCAGTCCCTCCCCGTCGGAAACTGGCCGCTTCACCATCGCTAATTTGTGGAGAGAAAACATGCACAGTCGGCTGAAACATGTGATGTTGCATCCAATGAGGCTACGAGTGTGAAAACCTTCGGTTCATCCAAGTCACATACGCGGAAGTCGCGTGGCATATCCCCGCTACCATGCAAATATATTCGCTTAGAACGCAACTGAGCTCACAGACTCACTCACCAATCGGACTTGTTCCAGATTAACTTACTCATTCCTCACCTTTTCGGATATGCTTCATCCAACCACACTTTCAATTGCACACGCCAATCATCTACTTACGCCTTTTTGATCTGTTCGACGGTGGCTGATTTGGGCACGTCTAGCGTCCTGTAGTAGTCCACCATGGTGGCCGTGGGAGGTCAGGCCCGCCTCCGGCCTGCAACACGAAAGGTCACCGGTCAGGTCACTCAGAGGTCAATCCGCGAGAGGTTGGTCCGGCGTCACACTTTGGCAGAGGACTAATCGCGGCGTGTTGTCAGCGTGGCAGCTTTAATAGCAGTCCATCGATATTGCTCCTTCCTTATCAAACTTATAGGACTTATCCACCAATCAAAACTCTAGCTACGTTCCTCTCTGTCACTGTTTGAGGATGATTAACAAACCCCGACAGATCACTGTTCAAACTGTTTAAATTGATTCAGAACCGGAAATCACGAAAATGAAACGACGCCATCGGGGCCCCGGGAGGGATACCTAGTCATTAGTCAACTGCTTGCTTATCCAAGGGTAAGAATTCTGGCTATTACTGTACATAACTTTCGCGCGCGTAAACCTAAAAGGGATTCGAATCGTGGATCACGCATTCCATCCTTACCCTTCGTTACTTCCAAATTCGATTCGCGGAAAAGTCCGGACAGGTCTGAAGCTTTACAAACAGTTCACGGTTGTCTTATGGGCGCCAATAAATGCCAAGTTTCAATTATTCAAAAAACACCTTTCATTTCGCTGTTGTCTATAAAATCAAGACAATACAAACAAGCTAAAAGACAAACAAATAAAGCATACAAGCAAAATTACAAATATAAATATAGCATACAAAAAATGGTTATTAATTTCAAAATGGTTTAGCTCTGAAACACAAGTTTCGGTCCCAAAGTTTCCATTTTCCCACCGTATGAAACACATTAGTTGTACGTGGCAATTAAACGACGGCTTCAATGGTTTCCTTTTGGAGAAAGGGTTTGATTGAACCCGAGAGGAGCGACGGGAACGCACGGAGGAGCTTTAGGGAGGTTTGTGGAGTCACGGGAACAGACCAAATGTGCCCAGGCAGTCGCGTCAACTCTAATGCGGTCAGCGGTGACGGGTGACAGTCACGCCCGCCTACTACTGGGGTCCCACATCCCTAATCCCAGTCACCTCAACGTGATGAGGCGCTGGCAGCCCTTCCGCTCGCCTCATCACACGCACGCAGTGGACAGCCGGCACGGGTTCGGGGAATCCTCCAGGGCCGACTGGCCTGGGCCGTCACGGCGCCGTCCACAGCACGCGGTGGTATGGGCCGCAGCTCACCGTTACCCCAGCCCGGGGGCGTCGGGGAGGGGCGCAGCGAGGGGCACACCTCCCACCCGGCGGCCTTCGGTCAGCTCCGGCTCGGCGGCCCACACAGCGCGATTTGACACAGCGATGAGCAGCGGAGCACCGATACGCTCAGAAGTCAGAGCTCAACGGCCAGCTCACCTGACGCGGCTCAGGTAGACGACGGGCACATCGCGGCGTGGAACTCACCAACTCGGACACGACACACGCGGGTAGGACTCTTCGCAGCAGCACAGTCCGAAATTCACCAGCCAAACTCAGCACTCAATCGGCAGGCAGACCCAGAAGCCACTCCACGCACCGACTTTCGCCCCTACCTTTCTCAGATTCGATACGATCCCCCACGGACCCTCCGCAGTCCACACGCTTTCTGAGCTAGGCCAATCGAGCCGCCCGCCAGGTCACACGTGGAGCGGAGCGCTCCAGTAAGTTCCCCGTCCGCACCACAACAGCTGACGGCGTAGAGCCCACACGCCGGCGCGTTGGAGGCGGCTGCGCGGCGTAGAGTCTGCCCGACCGGATCCGGCCGGCAGGTTTGGGGGGAACGGGGCGGTCCGGCCCAATCGATACCAAACACCACCGCGTGGCGCCCCGGGCGGTCACGGGTGACGCAGTTCGACCGGCCACCGGGCCAGCCCTGAAACGGGGCCACAATGGTAGAGCGGGACATCAGGGGCACAGCTCGCAGCACAGAGCGCACGGCGGGGCGGAGGGCATCAGCATGGAGGATAAGGAGCACTGCTAAGCGCATTGCTTCAATCTGGTAAAAGATGGAAAATAAAAATAAAGAACGCGATGACTGTCCATTCGCATCGTGCAATAATGAAACGTCCATACCAGAGCCTCAGTCGGCACAGTCGGCACAACAGTGGGCCTACCTAATCGGCATAACGGCAGCCCAGAGCAACGAGCCGAGACGTCGACCAAAACGAAAAGACTGAGGTGTTAGCACAAATCAGCCTGGCACGGCTTCATGCAATAACTCAGAACCAGACAGATTAGCCGACGGACACTGACATGTGAACGGGGAAAGAATGTCCTCGGCCGGCTCAGCCGGATTGTCGCATGCACAACAGCTCGAGACATAAGGCTGTGAACGGATAAACAAGGACAGCAGGTGCACATAACGGTCCAAACGTGTACAAACAGGACATAAAAGCATACATACAGGCCTTCAAGTTCAGACTCCTTGACAGGCGCCATTTCCGTCACACTGACAGTTAAAACCATTATCAGAGATGCAGAAATGAATGATGCAGGCATGCCAACCGTCAGTAGCGATAAGGCTCACGGTTTGCATAGCATGCGGGCTGAATGGTAACATGCCGGCGAGCCAAAAACAGTGGGGCACGCCTCGCCCACCACACGGAACCAAGACAGCGCCGGGCAGGTCTGTGCAGCCGTATGTAACTACAGCCGCCGGTGACGCCGTATGACATAATACATCGCCCCTGCACCGTTTTACAGTACTCCAACCCGCCCAACGGCCACTCTGGCAAACAAATATGGACTCTACCCTTGGCCGCTGCCGGAGTGGGTTTTCAGAGCGCTGTTATCATCCGCTGGCTGCCAACAGGTACCGGCCAAACGGCGCTTATCTGGCGCTCATCTCGGCCCGGTGGTAGGTATCCGCGGCAGGCCCGGCCATAATCGGGCCGCAGCACGCAACACTCCGCGGCAGGCCGGGCGGCCGTGGCGGCAGAGAGGTTCCCGAGGCCCCGAGCCACAGCCAACACCTCAGCACAGCGCTCCGACTCTGCACTAACGACGTGCGGGCTGAGCTCGAAGTGAGGGCGCCACGACCTATCTACATTTCAGCACAGCATCCTTCATGTTGCTAGCATTCTAACGACAGGCTAAAAATACGGCCTGTCTGGCGAAGAGTCCCGCCCGCAGAGCACTGCGCCGGCCAGGAATAGACGGTGTGGCGGCAGGAATAGAGGCGGACTAGTCTGAGGAGGGGCGGCGGCAGGCGGCAGCTGGCAGCCGGCGGCTGGCGCTCCAGCTGGGCGGCCGTCAGGGTCACCGCAGCGCACCCGGCGTCTGGCGGATAGGGCAGACGGCGCGCCAGGCCGTCTGCCGCCCTCCTGCTCGTGCCGTGACGATCTGAGTCACTCAGACCACCCGCGACGGGACAGCCCGACCCACGGAGAGCATTTGTCACCAGCAGACACCACTCGGCGAGCTGGCTGGCTCTGTCACTCTCAGAGCCCTCCTGACGCAGTGGTCAACTATGCAGCTCCGGTGGCCGGCCGGGTGGCGCTAGTACGCCCTCCCCCCCCCCCCCCGAGCACAGCCGGCACGTGGCTTGTCGATCGGCGCGGCGCAGTACGGCGCGGCGCGTGCGGGCCGGTCCGGTCGGCTGCAACAGCTATCCATCACTGAGCAGCAGCCGGGCGGCGACCGGCAGCGGCGACGACGCGCCACCCGGGCTGGGCGATCGGTCGACTGATAAACTGCGCTCTTCACACTGCAGACTAGATGCCACGCAGGACCGCGTGGCCAGCAGCTGATGATCCCCCATTATACTCAACCATAGGCATGTGAATTTCCCACTTCCCCGCACGGCACAGCTCGCCTCTGTTTAGTTCGGCATGGCAGCGGACCGCCACGGCCCCCCTGCGCTGACTTCCTGCCACGGCACGCGTATACTCTCATCCCCGCTGTCAGAGGAGCGGACCAGGGGCAACGGCCCGTGCCAAACGGCTGCAGAGTGCCGCACTCCAAGGACATTGTCACTGCCGAGTATAGTGCTGACGAAATGCAGGAAACCGGCTGTCGGCTGAGCACTTCCCCTTCAAGCAGTAGCATCCCACGTGATGTAGGTATGCGAGATATGGCTGTGCGTTGCAACCAGTAGGAGAAAAACAAAAGATGACGATGTTGCAAAAGTTCTTGTTAGTGTTTGACTAGAAGCATCTGGTCGATGCAGAGCCAGCTATGTGGAAAATTATGCACAGAAACTGAGCTCAGTAAAACGTTAGCTGATCAACGGTTGAACGCCGTCACAATGATAAATTGCCCATAACAAAACAGGCGGTGTTGTTTTCTCATAAAATATGACGCATTTGTTTACACACCCGTAGAGATTACCAGAATTCTGACAAAAGATTAGACAGCAAATATTCTGAACAACAATGGCTAAGCAACAGACAAAGGGTGTAGGGATCATGCACGCTCGTCCGTTTTGCCCATTCGTTATATGAGTGACGCAGCTGACTCATTGAACAATAGCCTACAACCCAACTAAACGGTATATTCCTGCGAGTTTTTAGGGCGATTCGTTGCGGAAAAACTGTCAACAAGGAGCAGGCGCACGTCAACAGCAGCACACATTCATATGTCACCAAGACAAAGCGCTTATTTCTGTGTCTCTGAGGGAACGCCGCCTACCGCGGCCCCGCCGCAGTGGGGCCGTGGCTGGGTCGTGTACTTCTGTGGTGCGACCTCCCGCGCGGCCCCTCACCGCCGCGGCTGGCCAATTCTCCTCCGTCCAAACCGAGAGTGGAGGCGGGGCGGCCGCTGGAAGCACACCTGACACCACGTGGCCGCTCGGCCCCGGATAATCGACCGCCATCAGCCCTGGCCGTCATCAGCGCTCGGCTACGGTCGTCAGCCGGCGGCAGGAGGGGAGATGGGGAGGAGGGAGAGAGGGGAGAGCAGGTCACTGCCAACAGCAGCAGTCGCCGACAGACGCGTGACCGAAACGCGCGCGCGCCGGCCCGTCGCCGGGTGGCAACGCGTCGGGTCGTCGGTGCCGGTGACGGCGAGATGCCGCCGACCGAAACGGCTGTCTGGTGCGGATCGGCGGCGGCGGCGGCGGCGGCGGCGGCGGCGGCGGTGCACGGGTCCCAGACCACCCTCCCAGCTGCTCCCAGACCACCCTCCCAGCCGGGGCGGGGCGCCGGGAGCCGGAGGCGCTCCCCGCGTGGGGTCCGGTCGGCCAGCTATGCAGACTCGGGACCCCGCAGGCCATTTCATCAGCCTGGTATAAGGAAGCAGCGTGGAGGTCAAACGGAAAATATTGGCTCTACACAGGACGGAACAAAGCGGAAGCCGAATCAGTAACTGCACGAAGACGTTACACTGCCTGTGGGGCATTTAATTGGTGGTCCCCGATGTCTATGACAATCGGCGGATAACGTATTCCTCTCACGCTCAGATGTATAGCTTTGTATGGTAACGGTGCATCGCGTGACAGATGTGCGGCGACCCTCGGCTCCAAACTTGTCCGAGACATGGGCCGTGTGTGCGGCGGCCATAAAAACGTGATTAGAATTTGATGGCGAGCGCCATGCAGCAAGAAGCATAGAGCCCAGTTCGATGTCATTCATTCTCGGACTAAAACCAGCGTCTGAGTGCGTCACTCCCTCGGGGCGACAAAACAGCTCGTCGTCAGAACGCACTCACACTTTCAATGTCGGCCGATGCAAATGCCGGCCGGTTTTTACTGCCGAGCACACAGGAAGCCCGGTGAGTCGAGGCAGCTGCAGCGGACGGGCCGAGCAGGGCCTCAGGTGGACCAGTCGACAGGGGACTGCGGCCGTCAGCGCGGCCGTCCATTGAAAATGTATGTCCGCGCCATACATGGAAGCGCCAAACAGGTTCTAAGTGAAGTCGAGCCCGGAGCCGGGCGAGTCAACCGCAGAGTGGCACGACTCGGGAGTCGCACGGCGACAGCTGGTCGGACAGGTTTCCTTTAGAGTCGACTTGAGTCAGTCAGCGAGCCGCTCAGAGTCCCGTACTGCATGACTCGAGCATTCCTGGCAATCCTGATAAAACAGGTGGTCGAGTCGCTCCGAGTCAAGGTAACGGGTGCGACCTTAGAGTCGTGAGTCAAGTACCGTCTGCTCTGAGACAGTTGGCGGTGAGGCAGGTGCTGCCACGCGTCCGGTTTGAGTGTTGTGGAGGCCTGATGCGCGCATCCTCACCACGCCTCACGGTGCGAGACGGCCTCGAGACGGTCAGCGACGCTGTGACCATCAACGCGAACACAGCAGTTCCTCCACTGCCGCCGGCGGATAGAGCGCGTCTCTGACCTTCCTGACTAGGCCGCGCCCGCGCAGGGAGGGATCGTTTGAGCTCACCCGGTGCCGCAGGGTCGCAGGCCCAACGACCCCCACCGCTCACGGAGCACTGCGGCGGCGCGGGAGCCTGGGAGCGGGGGAGGGGGGCAAGAAAACCCAGGTCACAGCCGCCTGACCCCGCCCGAGACAGCTCACTTTCTCCCAGTCCGGACGACTCATCAATCGTCCCACCGAGACGTGACACTGCGGTCTGGGCCTATCGGCTATTCGTCCTGACGTGTCCGGAAGCAGGATGCAACACATAAGGCAACTGTGTTGAGAAAGCCGTCCCCTCAACCACCACCCCGAACAGGGCTCATGTTTAACACGCTGCGAGTACCATAAATTCATGACTTGCACGCTTACAAACAGTCTGAGAGTGGCCTCACGACCTGGCTGTAAGCAGTAACACGACACGCTGCGCCGAATACGTCGGCACTGCAGCTGCACTGCGCCATAGGCGTCACCAGCGCCACAAAGCGCGGCATACACGAGTCGGAAACGAGCCAAACTCATGGAGACCCGGCGGCCGGCACCTCCCTTTCTCAGCATAACAATCCATAGGAAGCTCCAGAAAGAGGTAACGAACACAGCACACCTACAACACGCGCTAATAATTCAGAGAGATATCGCGCTGGGAAGTGAGCCAGTGCCGGCGGCAGGTGTGACAAGCCGGCCGGCCGGTCGGCGCGGCGGAGCTCGGTCGAGAGAGCTGCGGGGAGCCACAGCCGAGTCAAGGTCGCTCACAAACAGGCTGCCACCCTCGGCTGGGAGGTGGCTCGTCTAAACAGAGCCGGCGGCGGCGGCGGCACGGCCGCTCTCTCAGCTGCAGCTCTCCACACCGTGGGACGGCGGACGGCGTGCCGTGTCCCGCCCGACACTGCAGAGGGGCGGCCAGGCAACACTGCAGAGGGGAAGGGGGAGGCAGACAACACTGCAGAGGGGAAGGGGGAGGCACACAACACTGCAGAGGGGCGGCCAGACAACACGGCAGAGGGGCGGCCAGGCAACACCGCAGACACCCGAGAGGCTAGAACTGAAGAGACATACAGCCGTGCCGCAAACATCAGTGTACCACACAATATTGCAGACAACGACGAGCAACACTACAGAGTCCGTTCAGTCGACTTCGGCACCACTGACGCCACAGGCATCAAATCAGACAGATACTGACAGAACAATACTACTACCAACCTGCAACATCAACAATAACCCCAGACATCACAAGGCAGTCACCATCGAGTGCTGCAGCATGACAGCCCGCCCACAACTTGGGGTTTGCAACGCGCATATGCGCTATCTGTGTTGCAGGAACAGGCGCCATCAAGGACAGGCCCTTGTTGATGTCAGTCATGAGGTAAAGACTTAAAGAGCAACGGGGAATACACAAATTCCGCTCTTCACCTGTTCAGTGGCATCGTGGATGGAAAACAGAAACCAGTTTTTGCAGCCCAAGTGAGAACGGCTTCACCAGGCTATAACGTAGATAATAGGTATACTAGATACCCTTTGATGGCAAGAAATAACATATTTTATGCAAAGAAATTCCTGCTTCAGGAATGTCTTTAATTTTCAATAGCGAGACCAGCTTTTCGACCACACTCGTATCGGTATTGAAAAAAGCATGTTAGATGTTTTGCGAGGAGGTACCCTGACAACTTCACCACTGAGAATCAGCACCTCAGGCCATGACTCGATGCGTTTCGACGAAGGTCAGATATTCAGCAATGCACATGGATGTGTGACGCATCACCGAACCTCAGTGCAAATAACGTATCAACAGGTCACGAAAACTATGAATCACTGATTCCCTCGCTGACATCAAGCGTAAAGGCTCTTACATCAGATGGCGCAACGCAATACTAAAGCGTCGCAATATACAACAAAACGTCTCTGCACTCGGCATCTCATTTCATCAGATACAATACAAGAACCAAGTCAGAAGCAGCACCCCACTAACCCAGCCAGTCGCAGCAGGTGCTTCTGTTAGCACACTAACCTGTTTGGGGGTATTATCTGCTCCGAGACGCAGTACGGGGCAGCGCCTCCAGCCCTGCCTCGCTCTTCACTCGTGCGGTTCCGCCGTCTCGTTGCTCGTCGAGCCGTTCACAGACACCACACAACCACGTTGCTCAGGGCAGAGAGCTTTCTGAGAGCTGAGAGCGCGCCGGTGGGAGCTTTGTCAGGGTCTCCTATCGGAGGAGCAGCGGCACCCCACCCGGCGGAGTCTGGCGGACGACTGGCTGCCGACAGTGGGCACTGGGCTCAGCGGTCTCGGCGGCGGCGCAGGCGCCCCCTGGGCCGGCAGACGGCACGGGCCGGGACGGCTGCCCTCGACGGCGGCCGACAACCCCGACCCGACACACGGCCGGTCGGCCGGGCATGTCAGCCGGAATATATCACTCACCCACGGACCAGAGATCACACGGCAGCTGGCTGCGGCCGGCCGTGTGCATCGCAAAACCCGAGACAGGCGAACCGCCCACCGGCAGGCGATAGGTTCCTGGTGTCCGTGCGGCCCAACGTGAGCCGCCTTTGGATGAAGATCTTTTCACGAAAAATGCCATCAGTGAAGTCAACTTCAATTTAGCTCAAGTTCTGCTATCAGATACAATTACTAGCCCGTGAAAGACGGCAGGTCAACATCAAACAAGCTGACTCAAATCCAGGACGACAGCTGAGGTCAGCGGTTAGCAAAAACCGAGGAACTCTTTTAATTGGCTCCAGCTATCGCGGAAGCGCACCGTCTCCGACGAGGACCGCACGCGGGCCATCTGAGGGAAAGTGAAACTGCCCGCCCTGCTGAGACCGACCCGGAGTGCGCCATCGGGGACCAGCGGGCTGGCCAGGCTGGCCGGCGGCCACCACGCTCCGGCCAGGAGCACAGCCAGGTAAATAGATCGAGTGGCTGCCGCAGACGGAAGCCGCCGTGGCGCGGTCATTAGGCTGGCAGATGCTGCTGCCGTGAGTCAGTGCAACTATACAGGGTGATCCAAAAAAATTGGAACCCCTAACTTAAAATGTCTATAAGTCCGAAAATATTCACTTTATTGACAAATTGCGAACACCATTAGAAAGAGCATTAAATCCTCTATAAAACACGCCAAATTGGTGCATGTATGTTTTGAAGCATTGGCACACTATTAGCTTTTGGAATGAGCGTCAGAAAACTGAGTGAAACGAAATCACCAAATGCTAACAATGCGCTGAAATCCGTTAGCACTCTATCTGTTGTCTTTTTGCGAATAACGCCACATCCAAATTCAATTTTATTTCATAAAAGTTTACACAGAAGCACACAGTAGAACAGATACACGCGTCCTAGCTTCCGCTGTTCATCCCAGCATGTGCTCAACGCGAGCTCCGTGGGCCGTCACGCAGGCGGCAGCGCGGACCAGCAGTCTCTGGGACTGGTCCCAGCAGGCCACAGCAGGCCGTCAGCCTTTTTTTTCCTTACAATAGCACGTGAATGAGCTATTTTTATGCATGAACCTCCAACAAGCGACATGGTCAGAACAGCAAACCGTCAATCACTGATTTGCGCATAATGTTCAAAACCGTTTCACTGAGTTGCGTGACACAAATTTTATAGGCATATGTCTAGGGCAATATTTATAATAATAATTAAGTGCAATCAACTTGGTTTTATAGAGAATTGAACGCTCTTTCTAATGGTGTTTGCAATTTGCCAATAAAGTGACAATTTTCTGACTTAAAGACATTTTAAGTTAGGGGTTCCATTTTTTTTTTTTTTTTTTTTGATCACCCTGTATTACTAGCCAGATGAGTCAACTTTGCCAACGCGCATTTCTTCTGTTGACGAGCTTTGCCTTCATCGTGTTCGTGCGGCACTGTCGAAGAAATGGCAACATCGATTGGCTCTGAAGTTTTGTCTGAGTGAAATATGAATATCAACTAGGTATAGCCAAAGTAAAATTCAAACGAATCCAAAAATAAATCACACGAGTCCTACAGTCAAAGACCTTTAGTCATGATACCGGTTGGCGACTGCTTCATCCATGAAATAACCAGAGTGCTCTATTCTGTTGAGTTTCATGTTCCCTGTCCCGGCTGCAGTGCCACATGTTTGAAACATATAGGTACCAATATCAATTGTAAACCCTCACTACAAAGTAGACACGGGTCACCTCTGAACGCATGCCGGCTCGTAATAGGTAGCTACAAAGCACAAAACGGGTGGCGGAAGTTGGCAGGTGAGCCAAATTGAAATACAGTTTCTTTTTGGTTTAGTTAATTGCTTAGGCATCTGAGCAAGCATGCAGAAACACTGTCCTAGTTCAGAGCAACTCTCATATATTTATAGGAATTAGGAACTAGACAAAACAAATTTGGAAGCGGGGCAATTAAAGATAGGATTCACGAGACTGTCATTTAAATGTGACAAGGTTTTAAATGTGACAATTCGCCTTCTAGCATCGACACGAGACTTTCAGAAATTGGAACATTACGATATCCCTCGCCGTTTACAGTTAACACACTACACACCAAAACGTAGGTAGGTACACCTGCCGAACTGTAATGCACGGTTGGCAAACGCCAGATGCAGCATCCCGCAATGCTCGGTCACGTGTGCACTTAACTCTGTAACTGCACATTGTACTTGTGTACATTTACATGATTAACTGCGAGTTGTAATTTGTAACTGCATATAGTGATACGGGGCACAGAGTGAAGCCGTTTGAATTGGATCCGTCGCCGGTCGGGACCCATGCCTAAAAAAACGATTCAAATTTCTAGACAAATACTTGACTCAAAGTAATACGTTTTTTTTTGTCTTTTTATCACCAACACAAACCATGTTTATGCAGAGGCGGATCCAGCTCAGAGTTTTTTTTTTGGGGGGGGGGGGGGCAAACCATAACAATTTATCGATTCTTTCCATGCATCGTCCATAGGCGTCATGTTACTCGTAAAATGATGCCGTTTGGGGAGGCAAATGCCCATTTTGCCCCCCCCCCCCGGATCCGCCACTGTGTTTATGATCAAAAGATCAATCTGGTAACTTCAGGCGCACCGCCTCAGAATTTCAACCAATGGACGAACGTGGAACGAGCATCAACAACATTGACGGACCCTTTGAGTAGCGCTCGTTTTGCATAATATGACGTGGTCACTGGTCAGTTATCTGACCTAGCCTGACCCGAAACTGGGTCAGATGTAAAAAAATTTGACTTAATTTAAGGGTCAGACAGGTATGACACATCCCATATCCAGCCCCTTACCTCACCCTCGACGTTAGGTATTTGAGTAATCGCTAACCGATTTAAGACGATATCGCTGTTGACCAGGAAGGGTTAAATTTGCGCGAGCAGGCTGAGTGTGTTTTGTGCATTTAGGTGCACACATATGCCCTCTATCTATCCAGGAAGCTGATAGTGCATTGAGTAGTTTGTCAGATACGCGGCACGAAGCCTCACAGGAACTAAACAAAAAGCGGGGCACTCAGCCCACCTCTATCTGAGCAGAGCGGCCGTGCCAGTGCTGAGCGCGATCGTGCCCGATGGTGATTGGCAGTTGTGCTGCGGACACACCCACAGGGGCGCGGGACAGAGGTAGGCGCACGCAACCCCCACCCACACCACCCCTCCCTCCCCACTCCCCAGCCCCGAACACGGGGGAGCCCGGAAACGGTAGTGAGCCGCCTGAACCGCACAGTTGGGTCACCCAGTCACGGACGTGGTGTGTCTGTTATAACGTTACGCTAAACACCATTGTGTACGCGCGGTAACCGGAGAATCCACACTGCATATTGCATGTTGCAGAATTTAGCTGCTGATTTCGCAACTTCCCCATCCCCGGCCAGTCCCTGCCCGACTGTCACTCTGTGTTTGGACTCGCCATATGACGTGAACTTTACGTAAGGTCACACAGGGCCATCTGCTGGCCACATCCGCGTCCTATCGCGGCATGGTGACGGTCCACTAAGGCCAGCAGCAATATTGGGCCCGATCGGCACACCAAGTCAATCATATCGACCCACACCCAATTCTAATGTTGTCATCAATGCAAATTCCACACGGGAATAATATCCGGGTAGAAACAGAAGGAGTTAGCGCTCCGGACACCCACCCTGCTCCGGTTTAGGCCGATTCCTACCAACAGGGCGGGTTCCCGGTCCGTTTTGGTGAGGGGCGAGGGCGGCAGGGAGTGGCAGGACCGCACGGCGCCGGTAACACCTGCTGGCGGTCACGTGACAATGGGGAATGGTTGGGCAGAGACGGGGACTAGCGTTACGTGATAGTGGGGAATGGTCGGGCGGTGCCGGGCAGTACCTGCTGTCACGTGATTATGCTATACACATTACCTACATACATTGGCTAATGCTTAATTTATTCCTGTTACCTCACAGAAGCAGCACCAAAACTGGACAAGGGCTTGTTGAGCACCTTAGATATTGAGTGCGAATACCAGCATTCCCGGGTCCACCCACTCCAACGCCTGGCAAAGCCCAACATAGGATGGTTGGATGAGATCATCTCAGCTAATGCCCGAAGGCACCAGCCGGAAACAAGTGTAAAAAGGCGACGCCAAAAGAGGCTTCGAACTTCAAAAGCAGTGGATATTGACAAGTTATCGTAAAAGTCTTGCGGATATTATGCATAATGCTGGAGTGAACTTTTCTATTTGTTTATGCATTCAGTCCAAAATTATTTATACCTATCTACCTACTTATGTTTTATGGAAATAAGAGTTTTGCCTTAACAATGAACATGTTGAATGGAGTGGGTGCTCCAATATCGACTGCTTCGTAATGAGATGCCAATTCAGAATAAATCCAGCCTCACACGAACAAAACTATATTCAATGTAAATGCCCTGCAAAAAAAAAAACGAACCGCAGGGCAACGTGCAGCCCCGAAAAAACACCTGATGCAGATTAAGATAATAACGTAACAAAGGTACCACCCGGTCCGGCCGTGACGAGGACAAAGTACACGGGTCACGGCGTCACACGGTCTCCTCAATGCTTACGCGACATCACACGATCCCCGGCAGTCCCCGGCCGTGACACATCAGCAGTCCTTGTAAATGTTACAACGTGTCGGGGCAAGCCTCAGGGCTGACTCAAAGTCACGGCGGGCGCGGTAAGACGGCGAGATAAACATAATTACAAAATACCCGGTCATAGGTGTCTTCTCTGTTGTAGCTCAGTTGCGAAAAGAGCCGGCCTTTTACTATGCGAGGCGCGAGCTTGCTGTCAGGTCAGGGTGAGACAGCTTTTGGGAAACTACTGCAATGAATGTAACGCAAACAAAAGGTGGGGATCAGCGCCTGACGCTGTCTAGGCGGCTTCTGTCCACACAGTGGGCAGCTCTGGGGCTAATCCGTGATCACTGTCACACCAGCATACCTCTCGGTTTAGTGTCAGTGCGATGAAGGAATTAGGATATTTCTGTTTACGTCGGTAATAAAAACAAACAGGACGCGCCAGAGCCGGACGGCCGACGGTGACTGACAATGTCGCCACGTTCCGTCACGAGCTGACATGTCGTCACACTGTGCAAAGGTCACGCATCGTCACGGCGTGTGACTAACACCGACTCTGACTGGACTGATATGTCAGTCGAATGCTCAGATATTTTCCGCCTCCCACAGACGGTTATTGGTCTACTTATCTGATATCATGGCAGCTACGGATGATGTGCTGGTAAGTAATGACGGGAGACTAAACGAGCCAACAACACTCGTTTCTGAGGGCGGAGATGTTACCTCAATATGACGTCATATCGTTCAAAACATCCTTATTATAGGATCACTAGAAAGTGGAATGGATACCAATTAC